CTCTCTACCTGTCTGTCTCTCTACCTGTCTGTCTCTCTACCTGTCTGACTCTCTACCTGTCTGTCTCTCTACCTGCATATCTCTCTACCTGTCTGACTCTCTACCTGTCTGTCTCTCTACCTGCATGTCTCTCTACCTGTCTGACTCTCTACCTGTCTGTCTCTTTGTAGGGGACCCTGCAGAAGTTCGTGGACGATGTCTTCGTGGCGATCCTCAGTACGAAGCGTCCTCCTCCGATCGCTGTCAGATTCTTCTTTGACTTCCTGGACGACATGGCAGAGAAACACGGCATCGACGACCCCGAGACCGTCCACATCTGGAAGACCAACAGGTGAGAGGCACACCTGCACACCTGTCTGTATCTCTGACCTGTCTGTTGCTCTGACCTGTCTATCTCTCTGCAGTCTCCCTCTCAGGTTCTGGGTGAACATCCTGAAGAACCCTCAGTTTGTTTTGGACGTTCAGGTAACCGACAGCATCGACGCCGTCCTGTCTGTCATCGCTCAGACCTTCATCGACTCCTGCACCACCTCGGAGCACAAAGTGGGACGGGTACGACCTGTCTCTCTCTCTGTCTGTCTGTCTGTTTACTGTGATAAGGTCTGTGGTTCAGTCATGTGGCCACATGGTAACTTTCTGTCCAATCAGGATTCTCCTGTCAACAAGCTGCTGTACGCCAGAGAGATCCCCCGATACAAACAGCTGGTAGAGAGGTGAGACAGCTTCCTGTTGCATTTACCTCTGTGTTAAACAGTCCATGATGTGTGATGAGAAACAACAGGCTCACTGTAGTAACTTTACTTACAGCTTCACATTCACCCTAGAAACACTCTCACTACGTTACAGTTACAGTCAGACACAAGCTTTACCAACACTGTACATATGTAAATAATGATTGTTTCTGTGAACACATTACACCAATGTGATGAACTGTGTTGTGTCTGTGCGTGCGTGTGTGTGTGTGTGTGTGTGTGTGTGTGTGTGCGTGCGTGCATGCGTGTGTGTGTCTGTAGGTATTACAGCGATATCCACAGCGCTGCGTCAGGCTGTTATCAGGAGATGAACTCCACTCTGACTGAACTGTCTGGGGTCAGTAAACAAACTGAGATACAGATTTTATGTATATATGTATATATATATATATATGTATCTATGTATGTATGTACGTATATATATATATATATATATCTATGATCAGAATCATTATAACTGTGTTATAACTGCTGCTGTGTAAAGGGAATACTGCTGCTAACAAGAACCTGATGTGTTTAAAGTGTTTACACCAAATATTATTGACCTTTTGTTCATATAGCAGTACTTTAAAATAAAAGTGCACAATACACTACTTTTGAATTCATTATTGAACTTTGCGCATAACAATGAGATGAATCGTGATTAAACATTGTAATCTATGCCTAGCACTAGTATTTACGTATGAACAGTATTAACTCAATATTGTGTTCTTGTCTGCAGAGTTTTGCCTCAGAGATGAACAGTGTTGTTGCTCTTCATGAACTCTACAAGTACATCAACAAATATTATGACCAGGTAACACACACACACACACTCTCACACACACACACACACACACTTCATTAATCACATAACTATACAGTAATAAGTCTCTGTATCCACCTGTCTGTCAGATCATCATGTCTCTGGAGGAGGACACTTCAGGTCAGAAGATGCAGTTGGCCTATCGGCTCCAGCAGGTCGCCGCCCTGGTGGAGAACAAGGTCACTGACCTCTGACCCCGTGACCCTGAAGACACTAAGACAAGCTTCCTGTTGGACGTCTGGAAATCATTCTCCTGTTAACATTGTCTTCCTGCTGTGTGTGTGTGTGTGTGTGTGTGTGTGTGTGTTTACACTCAGACTCAGGAGATCCTGGTTCTCTAGAGTCCTTCACTCAAACTAAACCTGAACCCGGCTTTAGACCGACCCGACAATCGAACCAATCAGAGAGTTTCATCATCACCTGCTGCCTTGCACTACATTTCCCAGAGTACCCTGCGGTCCGGCTGTCTGTGTGGAGTCAGACAGTTAATACTGGTCACATGTATTGATTACTTGCCTGCTGATGTTTTGTATTGACAGTATTTTTAGCTCTTACGACTGAAACCAGCAGGATTGTGAGTGTTTTTAAACCCGACACCCTCAGGACCCGACCCACACTGGTTCAGTCTTCCTCAGGTCCAGGTTGAGTCCACGTTGACTCGCCAGGATTCAGGTTTTACATTAATATCAGTGTAACAAGTGGTGAATCAGCACACAGCAGTGATGCTTGTTTAGCTCATTGAGAGTAGAAACAGAAATAAGAATCCTTCTGAAACAATCTGAAATGTTTAACCTCTGTTTGTTTGCTCTTTACTAACTTATTACATGTACATACCGTCAGTCCTATTTATACGTATTTATTCCAGCTGTGCCTTCATGCAGCTCGATGGCGCTGTCTGTCTGTTCTTACAGCCGCCTTGTTGATCATGTGTCCCAGTGCATGATGGGAACATAAACTCATTTCAATGTGTAACTCTTATTGAACCAGGGAGGGAAAACAACAACTTAATCATCTACAAATACCCAGACAGCCTGAGTATGACTGGGTGTCCAGCTAGCATAGCATTATGCTAATGCTATGCTAGTTTGACAAACACAATCACAACTCTTTCACTAGATTGAGTTGAGATTGTAGCCAAAGTCGAGGGTTAACTGTCGAGTGTTTGTAGCGGCTACGGCGTGAGCTAGCTAGAAACAGTGCAGACGAGCTAGCTCTTTGTTTCTCACTGATTATTGTGAAGCTGAACATCCCATAATACACACCAGAAAACAAAGGTAGGGTGTTTTAGTGAGCTGCTGCTTCACGTTCCATTAGCTCTGATATCCCCCCCCCGACTCTCCAGCCTGAGATGTTATGATATAATAGAAAGCAATAACATTTTTAGAAAAGACAAAGGTTGTTTTTTATGAACAAAGACAGTTGGGCGACATGTGAGGATATTATCCGTGTTAACGTTTGACTGTGTAAATCAATCAATAACCAGTTTATTGATGTGATGACGTCACTGATGACGTCGCCGAGGACTCTGAGGTTTGGAGTCTCTCTGCAACACTTTGTTGTTTCAGCTGTTTGTGTCACAAAGTGAAGATGCAGAGTTTAAACAGGCTTCATATGCAGCTCTGCGAAACAGGACACTTCCTGGACTCTCCTGGACTCTTGACAGGATACTTCCTGGACTCTGCTGGCTCTCCTGGACTCTTGACAGGACACTTCCTGGACTCTGCTGGACTCTTGACAGGATACTTCCTGGACTCTTGACAGGACACTTCCTGGACTCTGCTGGCTCTCCTGGACTCTTGACAGGACACTTCCTGGACTCTGCTGGACTCTCCTGGACTCTTGACAGGACACTTCCTGGACTCTGCTGGACCCCTGACAGGACCCCTTTGAGACCTGTATGTTCTTCAGTGTAAATGGACTCTGACTGATGCTGGTCCCATCAGGCAATAACAGACTTCCTGTCTGACATTTTGGTATAAAATGAGCCGCTTGTTGAATGATCTTCTGTACTTTTCTTCTTCTAGTGTTTCTGATGATTCTCTCTGTTTAATCTTTAATCTCTCCTCTGTGTTGCTTGTTTTCGATAGTTATCGTTCACTGATCAGATTACAATTTTGCATGTGTGTGATGATGATGATGATTTGTTTTAATGGTGGCAGAAGGTCCTAGTTTGACCTCCTGATCGCTGTTCCGTTTTTTAATCTTCTGGGACATGATGAAACAGATCCTGAGCTCTGATTGGTCGAGCTCTATTTGTTACTGAAACGTTTTTTCTACAAGGGAATAAAAACTTTAAAGGGTTTGTATAAAGTGACTCCTGGATCAGATGTGATGAAGCACAGACTGCTTTTCTACTGACTGTACAGTTTGCCAACAATGTGTAAATGTGCCTGTAAATACCTCTCTGAGGATGAGGAGGGTGAGGAAGACAAGTCAGACTGCAATGGAAATGTGTTTTTATTGTGAAGAGGCTGGAGGCCAAACAAGTTGTATCATGTAAAAATAAAGTTACAATTTTAACAATTCTCTCTGTGTTTTTCATTTGTTTTAATACTTTTGTCGATATCACTGATACCAAAACGTCTTGGTACCTTAATTTAAAGTAATATAGAACTCGTACTACAAAAACCTGTTTTGTAGTTTAAGAAAAGAAGTCAAACTTCAAATTTGGAATTTTTTCTGCACCAAAAGATCCGTTCAAAACTTATTCAAACGGAATCCAGAACTATCTCATCAAAGAATCATGTATGTTAACAATATGTAAACATGATCAATATATTGTATTGTATGTTAATAATATCTAAACCATTACATCATTTGTATATATTTACCCCCAGCTCCGCCTCTGATCCCAGTTTAGAACCAGACAGCATGGCCGCTAACGGCGCATGTCCACAGACCGGTGTCCGGTGTCAACAGCTGTTGAGACCATGAACGGTAGGGCCGATACACCACGGAAAACACGAGAATAACCGGAGTGGACCCGGTACAAAGCTGGTACTTCCCGTCCGGTCTGCAGAGAGAGCCGCTGATCTGCAGCTGGAGCTAGCGGAGCTAACAGGCTAACTGACAGCAGACTGTCAGCTGTCTTCTGACGGGGCTAACGGACAGGCCACTGGCTCATGTTCACCACGCTACGCTACACTGACCCGTTCTGGCCTGGGTTAGTTTCTGGACTGTCTGCGGTGAAGTTCAGCCACATAACGGAGGCTTCCAAGCTAACTTGTTGACGCGAGCCTCCAGAGTACCATCAGTCCAGCTGGGATAGAGCAGAGAGCCAGGATGCTAATAGGTAAAATAGCAGCATGCTAATAGGTAAAATAGCAAGATGCTAATAGGTAAAATAGCAAGATGCTAATAGGTAAAATAGCAAGATGCTAATAGGTAAAATAGCAAGATGCTAATGAGTAAAGTGGGCAGGATGCTAATGGTTAAAGTAGCAGGATGCTAATGGCTAAAGTAGCAGCATGCTAACGGGGAAAGTGGGTAGGATGCTAACGAGTAAAGTGGGCAGGATGCTAACGAGTAAAGTGGGCAGGATGCTAACG